AGATAATGTCTGTTAACTGTTATGAAATAAATAAATAGCTACTTGCGTACTTAGCTGCAGAGGAAACTTCCGCACTTCGCCTGCGTACGGAGTCCTGTGCCTAGTGTAACATTGAAAATGGGGATTAATTCACGCGCTAAATTATATTTCATTACCTGACTCACGTGTTTTCATTTAGGAAACGCAACATAAAGTATTTTTGAAGTTATACTTCTATAGGCGCGTTAGGGAAAAATGATGAGAGTAAATTTTTACGATGCGCTCGCACACCGTCACAAAAAAACCGACATCCTGAAGTTAGCATAGTTAACATTTTAAAATAAAAAATGTCAATTTCTTTAATTATGTAGAAATATTTTTTTTAGATATTTAAATAAACTTGATCTAACTAGATAATGCGTTATTAATAAAACTTTCAATGTATTAAATACCTTTAATCTATTGTTAGTGTCGTTTTTTCTACAAACGTAGAATAAGGCGAAAGATAAAAATTGTAAAACGATTTTATCTTGTTTCGCCAAAGAAGTATAACTTCTAACGCGTGTAATAAGTACACACACATGTTTATTTAATGCCAAGTGTAACGCCAACAAATACTTCAATATCTTGAATAATAGTCAAATGATAGTCACATACCACAACTGTTAATATTGTTTATAATAAACACGTTCGGCCTTATAATAAAACGTGGACTAATGATTGTGTTTGTTGCCATGGCTACGTTTCATATATTTTTAGTTTCATAATGACATTTTATCTCTGAAAGTAGGTCACTTGTAAGCGTAAGACTAAGTTATCAATTGTCTCTTAATTAGCGTAACGTTCACGTTACCTTTGCTTTTCTAAAAAGGGCCATTTAATTGAAGTTTGTTTTATACCTTATTTATTTATTTGGAAAACATACACATACACACAATAGAAGAAACAAAAAGAAATGTCAAATAAAATATTGTATGTATTCTGAAACAGTTTCACAGAAAAATGAATACCTAGTTTGTTATTGGACACTCTGAAAAGAGATAAATGTGATGGAAACATCGTAGAGAATTTGTTTGAGAGCGTAAACTTGCTCTAACAAATAAATAATAAATAAATTTGCAAAGAATGTGGTACATTCAGATCGATTAGCTATAAAAAAAACGAAAGATTATTGAATACAATGTTTCAAAGTTTAGTTAGTTATCCCATATCACAAACATTTTGAATTATTTCCTAGGCACGATTGTTTGAAATATACGATCCTACAGAAATACATTGCCCTTGACTTAGATGTTTAAATGCCGATGACGTGGTCAGTGATGTCATCGTATGTCACCAGTTTTAGTAAGTTCGTGTTAATTTTCTGACCTACGTGATACGGGTCTTACCTGAAAAGAAAAACAATTAGTTAACATTTTGGATGACCATGGAGGCTTTATATGATTTATTTTTATACGAAGGTTACAGTCTACTTGAAACTGGCATAAAGTTAAAACTATTGCCATAATATTAAAAAAAAAAGGTTTCAGTCTGATTTTTTATTTGCTGGAGTAAACATGCTTACAAGTTCCTTTCAATTGGTACGAATTATTTTTGACGGACTTTAATTCATATTGGATTGTTAATTATTCTGACACACAGTACAGGTAGGGTTGCCACTAAATAAAGTTTTTCACTAAATAAAGTATACAAAATACTGTATTTAGCATCAATTAATTTAATAAAAACGGAGCTCTTTATTTATTTTAATTTCAGTTATAATTGATGATGATGTGTGTGTGTGATGCGAGAAGCTCTCAAAAATATGTATTTAAAACAATAAATAAATAAAATACTGTCTAATTAAAAGACCTGAATATCCTTTCTTTCTTGTAAAAATAGTTGGTAAGCCTAAGTACAGGCCATATGAATTTTACATGTTTCCGAGCCGATTCGACTTAGGGTCCTTCAAGAACCAATTCTTAAAAGGCCAGCAACGCACTGGCAAGCCTTCTGGCAATGTGAGTGTCTATGGGCACTGTCACTTAACACCAGATGAGCCTCTTGCAAAAAAAAATTACGTCGGCAATTTTTTTGTGTTTAATAAAATTAATTAGATTAGTTTTTTTACAATGATTGGTAAAATAATGTAATCCGTAAAGTGCTCTAGTTAAACAATTAAACATGGCTGCATTTGCTGAAGTTGGCTTTAATTCCCGCTTTTCAGTGAACACCCTTCAGCTTGCGATTGGAATTTTCTACTCAAATTCTATTTTAGTCACCTTTATTTTTAATGAGACAGCTGATCACTCTATTGGCAATAAAACTGAAACTTTTGTTAACTTTTACGTTTCTATTAATAATATGTCAACATTTTTATTAACAAAGTTTCAACGCTAAAGTAGGGGCCTCATAGCCTAGCGGTCTTATTAAGTGGCAGCTAGGTGAGGGGTACCGGGTTCGATTCCCGGTTCGAGGGCAAGTTTTAATTTAATTGTAAAATTTGTTCTCGGCCTTTGGGAGGGTTGTGCGGTACCGGGCGAGTGCCTAAATCATACATGGAGGACATGATCGAATTTCTAAGGCAAAAAGCACGAATGATAAACTTGACGCTGGCTAATGCACAAACCGTGCCAGAGCCATAAAAAAAAATTTCAACGCTAGCTTGTTTTTCTATTACGCTTGCGTGCCATTATTAATAATAGTGTAATTACATCCACATTCCTCATCACACGAATAGCGATTATTTAATTACGGGACAACTTACATACGGGTTTAATTATCGCTTATTAAATTTTATTTGCAATTATTAAATTTTATTATCTAGACAATTATTGTACCACGTCACAGCAGTGTTGGCGTAGTGGCTTCAGCGTGCGTCTCTCATCCTAGAAGTCGTAGGTTCGATCCCCGGCTGTGTATTAAACATTCGCGCGAACGTTAAAGGAAAACATCGTGGGGAAACTGGTTTGCCTAAGACCCAAAAAGTCGACAGCGTGTGTTAGACACAGGATCACCTACTGGCCTATAAGATTGACAAACGATCTTGAAATAGATATAGAAATCTAAAGCTCAGACCCAAAACAGATTATTTTTAATTCAATTTTATTTTTATTGCTCACCATATAGTGATTTAATTTGTTATCTAATTTGGCGATTTCACTACTTATATAATTCTAAATTATTTGGTCCTTACATATGAAATTGGCGTTTTGTATGGGAGGAACAAAAAGTCGAATATTTTTAAATATAATATATTTAATTAATCAAAGTATGAACCATTGTTTTCTATGCACTTTTGCTATCTCATAGGTAGTTCATTGATCTACCTATGAACTCGGACGTGGTTTGCGATGGATCCGCTTCATCGTCTTCATCATAAAAGCACAAATACATGAGTAAAATAGCTGTACAAATTTGAATTTGGAATTCCTTACCAAAGAGGAGAACATCGTGATTAACGGCCTGGCCACGGGGATCAGCGGTGCGAACGGCGATGCGGGAGGCGAGGCGACCATTCGCGCGGGGCCGTTTGCAGGCCACGGACCAGTCACGTTTGCCGCCGCGACCAGTAAGGAAGTTCGACAGCGAAATGTCTATCGAAATCATCTCGATATTGCTTGGAAAGTAATAGCTTTTGGTTCAAGACCTAATATTTGGAGAAATTGAGGAGAATTCCACAAGAAGTATGACAAATTCAGAATATAACCAGAATTATTTTTTTGAGTATACCAGAATGAGTATTGAAACCTTCAATTATATTCTTATGAATATTCAACCAGAATTGGAGAAAAAAGTTAATGCAAATAGAATTTTAAGTGCCGCTGAAAAATTGTTTTTGAGATTAAGGTATATTAAATTAATGCTGTGGATGGCCAGACTTCCAAATAGCTGGTCAAGCCAGTATTTCAGTAACAAAAAACTGTATTCATTTTTCGCCGCGACCACGACTAAACTTATTTATTCCCTTCTCTATTCGCCGCGACTGCCGCTCGACTCCGTGGCTTGCACCGTACTGATTCATGCATTTGTTTCGCTCGCCCGTCGCGACGTCAGTCGCCCGCGCGATTCGCTCGGTACATTTCGCCGGTCGCATCGCTGGTCGCCGTTGCGCGTGGCTTGATTAGTACATTGCTATGAGTTTATTTCAGTCGCTAGACGCATCGCCGTTCGCACCGCGCGAATATTCGCATCGGCGAATGTCCCGTGGCCAGGCTGTAAAGTGGCCAGTACGAAATACGCCAATTTCATAAGGACCTAATATATAACATTACATACAAAATTTAATTTATTAGAATAAGATAAGACTGCATATTTTATTTAGTTTTCTGTAAATAATATAGAATAGTATTAGTATCTTAAGAAAGGCTATTATTATTTATTATTATTATATAATATAGGTAAATGAAGAAGACAATCGTCCAAAGAGACAAAACGCCGCTATTTCTGTATAGATATTAAATCTAGATTTATTAGATTAACTTCAATACTATAAATACCAATCACTTCACAGTTTTAATCGTAATTTGCCCATTTTTACTTAATTATACATTAAGGTGTACTCTAGTACTTTTCAGTTATTAATAACTCCTGTAAGTACTAATAAATATATGATCATCTATATATATAAAAATGAAACCCGTTTTCCGTTGTCACGACATAACATGAAAACGGCTTGACCGATTTGTCTGATTTTTTTAAATAATATTCCTTGAAGTACGAGGATGGTTCTTACGGAGAGAAAATTTAAAAAAAATCAGTGAAAAAGTCTAAAAACAATTTTTCTATATTCCCATACAAAATATTCGTAATAGTACTTAAAAGTCAATTTGAACTTTAATACCACATCATAGAGTTCAAGTGTTAGTGGAGGGGTTCCGGGAAGGTAAAATTTATTTTTGACATAATGTATTTGTTGTCTTATCAACTTTCTTTCTCTTACTAGCTAGACCGGTGTCCCGAATAGTAGAATAAGTATTTAAAAAAAAAATAATAGACTGTTAGGCGGTACGATGTTCGCCAGGCCAGCTAGTCTTTAATAAATGAGTTATATAGTTTCACCGGACCGTCCTAAGAATCAAAAAGATTCACAAAATACGAAGCCAATCAGGGTCAAAACTAAGGTCACACACGCTAACCCACGCCTGTCAACTGAAATGGGCAGGGCCATATTGCAAGGTGTACCGAAGATGGACCGCCTAAGCGGCCCCTTTGCAGCGACCACCAGGAAAGAGGAATGTGGGAAGCGATATTATAAGAAATTCTGGGGAGAATCGGATGCAAGAAACAAATCCAAATGTAATGTTCAGGAGACCCAAAACGGTGGACGCGTGTAAGACACAAAACAATAAAAATAACAATAACTAACCTAGACTAAGTGTTTATGTGTGTGTGTCATAACCAACAGCCGTATTTTAAATTTTAAAAGCCGTTTGTAAATTTATTGTAAATAGTAAGGAATTAAAGTGGCTTAATTATTATTATATACATAGTTTAACTTGGAAAAACCAATAACATATATACATATAATCCGTATATGGTGTCGCATAACATTCCTTCCTCATTCGCATGGTACTTTTGAAAATAGTTCAATTCCAACGAAACTAGCGTTTTCATAGAGAGATTATTTTTCTTTAATATAGGAGTACATTTTACAATCGTTTTGTCATAAAATAATACCCGCACTCACCGCGACCTGAGCAGCTGATCACTGATGGTCTGTTCATTTATTAGTCACATAAAGATCAACTAGCCGGCCTGGCTGATGTTAACAGCGATAGTGGAACTTTGTATTTGCAACGCCACCTCCCGAACTAATAGTAATCTTGAATACAATAAAAAGTATAAAAGTGACATTAACTAATTATTTTAAATCATTCTTTCGCTAGGGCGTCATGAAGTACAAACGGGGAACAAGGGTGATATGACCCATTTTAATATTCAGAGTCGAGAATTACGATCTCTGATGTGTTTATTAGCCTTAAATAAGGTTTGTCACAGTTTCTTATGAGATAAAGCAAATGTTTTCCATATGTTTTTTTTTCCTATAGAATGATATTTATTTCCAACACAAAAATACGTATTTACAATAGTCTTAACCTACATAGTACATAATAATAATTAAAAATTGATAAATAGAAAATTAAATCAAATTTAAAAAGTTTGGTCTCTGTAGCTGTGTACCTTTAACGCTGGCAGCATTTCCTCGCTGCATTGCGATACTTAATCGTTGAACGAGGAAAGCAACAGCTTTGGGGTCACCGGTACTATCTATCAGGCGCCAACTTATTTTTTGTCAATGCTTGTGCACTTGAATCCCTCTACTCCAAAGGGAACAAAATCAGTGTTATCGTAAATAATGAACACTTTATTTACTCACATGCCAAGTATGATACAGAGAAGTTAACTCTCCATTATTTCAACTGATAACAATACATATGATTGCGAATAATATAGAATTGCTTATTCATACATCACAAAAGATCATTTAGATGCAAGATATTTGTGATTGATGACTTGTAGTGCAAATTGACTAAACTGCCATTTAATGGTCATTTAAAGATAATATGAATAATGGTTACAGTTTTAATTTCGAACGTATTTTACAATTTTTATTTTAAGGCCTTGTAAATTTGTTGATTATTAGCTGAATCACAACATCATGTTGAAATTATCGCATTTTAATTAAAGACATTCTATCTCTGTGCGCATTTAACATTCGTTGAAAGAAAAAGGCTTGCTTTTGATATTTTGACAGTTAAAAAAACATTCAAAATTCTTTATTTGTAAACAGCTATAGCTATTATATATACGAGTGCTTAATTGCTTATTAGATTGACAAAATATGATCGTGAAACAGATACAGAAATCGGAGGCCCAGACCTTAAAAGGTGGTAGCGCCACTAATTTATTTAGTTTAACTTATTTATAATGTATATAGCATAGCAGCATTTATTCGACATATTCAACATTAAAACTATTTGAATATATCTCGTTTAAGTTTGTCGACAATCGACATGCACAAAACATCCTCGGTCCCTATAAAATTGTGCACTAAGCTTTATACAGAAACTTAGTTAAATTTAGTTTATTTTATGAATAATAACTTACTAATCTAAATCTACAGAGACCTCTACATTGCCCAAATTCCAGCTAGATAGAACCGTACAGTATCTAATAATACGATTAATTTAACTTGACGATTCAAAAGTGTACTTGGTTACCTACTTGAATAAAGATATTTTGAGTTTGAGTTTGAGTTTGAGTTTGAATATATATAACATATATTAAACTCATGTATTTTATACAAGGGATACTCAACAATAAGGGGATTAATACCACCCTTCGGCAATTACAAATCACCCATCAATTAGCGAATTAAGGGAACGTGTGAAAAGATTGCTGACGCACGCGCAGATTATTATAACGGAGCTCATATTGCATTGTGTAAAATTTGTCCAATCCCCTATATTTAGTATGGTTTATTATTGAAAATATTTTTATTTATAAAATCAAACTAAAGATATACGTTAGTCAAGTTGCTATCACAATATGCATATTGGTGGATTAAAATGAGAATCATCAGAATTTTGTGTGTATTTAGCAATATCGCAAGGTAAATGCCAGACACAGCGTTTATTTCATTTATATTTTTACAATTCTGCCAGTTCTCAAATCAAGGGCGTGGAACGGAAGAGAAGAACTGGCAATAAACTCTCCGCCACTCTTTTTAAATGGCTTATCTTGCCTATTAAGAATAAAATTATCACGTAACAGATGTATATCTGAGGCCTAGGACCTAAAATTGGCGACTTGTGTCAGGCTTAGACGGCTTAGACCTTATTAAAATGAATTATCACGAAACAGATAATCTGAGGCAACTAGGGGATTGTAGCGGCACTGCTTTGAGTAGGAGCTATAGAAGTTACTAAAAATATGGGTCAGTTAATAATCATCATAATATTCGTCAATATGGCTAAATGAGCTTTTAAACATGTATAAGTCCCGCACGTTCATAATGCGACTGGCGGCCATCTTAGTGACGTAGTCGAACTGTCAGTGTCAGTACCGTGCGCAAGGTCAGCCAGCGCTTTCACGTATTGAGTACATCTACCTACATCTTTTATTTGTTAAGTTGCCACTCAAATAGAAAACGTATCAAACAGACAAGACCTCTTTCACATTTATAATATTAGTAGGTAATTTAATACGTAATATTTATAATTAAATAGCTATAAATATAATACACGAAAAGAAGATTACCGATACCTACATTCAAGCAAATAAATGAATATTATTATTATTAACTTCTTTGTTGTCTGTACTTTTCTGCGGTGGATGACGTCACGCAGCTGTTATTGTGACAAGGTTCCATCGCAATATCAACGTGCGGGGCTAGTGTGGCGCCTTAAATATGTTAGAATTTCACGCATTTCCATGATTTACACTTAGGTATGAATACGTTAAGACTGCATTATAAATCTATTATTCTTAACTCGACCTACATTAGCACAATACGGATTAATATCCCATTAATTCCATTTCCTGAGAGTGAAGTGTTTTATAAATAAATTTTGCAACCCAGATCTCCATGATGCAATTGTGCAAAGTGAAATTTTAGTAAAATTATGCAACATTTATGTTATTCGGTTTCTATAATCTTATAATATAAAGACGAAACAGTTGTTTTAACAAGTCTTTATATATTTAGGAAATATTTATAATGTAAACGCTATTGGGAAACCGGGAGAGTTCGCAGTATATAGATACCCACAGACTCCGAAATCATTGACTGTGTTTATTTGTATAAAATTAACTTTTATATTGATACTGACGTTCTTGCAAAATTTTCCTTTCTTTGTAATCCTAAGGTTACTAGAATTAAGTCTTCTATACGCAACTAAGGCTCGCTTATCTGCTACTTTTAATGCTCCAGTGAATAGGCCATCTCGCTCTTACAACTTAATTAGCTTTTAGTTTTTTTTTGTATTTATTTTAGATTAAGTTTGGTAAATCTATAATTTTTCAGTGTACTTGTAATTTTGTTTTTTTTTATTTGGTTATGCAATTTTTGCACATTATCCTTAATATTTGAAGGATCGCTAAAGAGATCGCTGTTAGCGATAAGGCCGCCCGTTGAATCCGTTATAATTTGTATGTTATTTGTTTTTCTTTTAATGTAAAGAAGTAAAAATAAATAATTACTATCATCAATGAAAGTATTGATATATTTACAACACCTGTCAACCTTTTTTCTACCTACTTACCGTAACTTTGTGTATCACGCTCTGAATGAGGTAAGTATAAATTTTATTTAGTTTAAGTTTTTTTTGCGATTTGCTTGTGTTTAATATTTTCCTTGATAATTTGAATTATTTCAGTTCTAATATACGTGTGTGTAAAATTTGTGAAGACATATTTTCTTGTATATTTTAAGCATACATTTTGCTTTATAAATGAATAAATTAACCGTTAGAATACTTAAGAATAAGACTTCAAGTCAATTCCCCAATCTATTATAGCAAATTGTGAAACATTGAAATATTACCCAGGACTTCGCTATCACTGTCAGTCTAACAAATGATAGCGTATCCTGAGCACGTCTATTCAACATAAATTATTGTCATTTTGAATGAAATAATGCGGAAACATTGTGATTAAGATCCAGGTTTTAGACGGCTTTAATATTTTGTAGAGAACTAAAGTTGATACCCATTGGAAAATACTGCATCGGCACTGTGCGTCTAGCATTTTGAAATTAGAACAACTTATTCAAATGCGTCACAGATTAAAGAGCGCATACAAATTTACACAATACCGTCATTCTGATATATTACCTAGGCTCGCTAGGTTTATGTTACCTAGACTAAACTGAGTGACTAAGTAACCTGATTACTTGTTTGTTAAACGGCATTAGTTTCGCGATAAAGATAATACAATTATTGCAAACATATCTGCCAGAGCTGCCCACATGGATTTTAAATTATTGTGAGTTTTGAAAGCAATAAAACAAAATCTTTGCGATGTGTTTTGTTTGTATTTGAATTGTTCAGGCTAAAGCGCTCTAGCGAGAAGTGTTGGCCTAGTGGCTTCAGAGTGTGACTCATATCCCTGAGGTCGTAGGTTCGATCCCCGGCTGTGCACCAAGAAACATTCTGTCTGTGTGCGCATTTAACATTTGCTCGAACGGTGATGCCAAAACGGTGGAAACCGGCTTGCCTTACACCCAAAAATTCCACGGCGTATGTCAGGCACAGACACCTACTGGCTGATCAACTACTTGACTACTAGATTGACAAATGACACAGACAACAGAAATCTGAGACCCAGACCTAAA